AGACGGGGCGTGGAAGTGGAGGGAGGGGCGGCCAGCCCTGGCCATTGAGGCCCCCGCTGCGCGGTGATAAGAGAGGGGGGGGGAGGCATCACCAGCAGGGGTCACCCCCTTGCCTCCGCCCCCCGTCCTTCTCTCCTCCTCGACGACCGATCGAAGCTCTATATCTCGTTTCTGGCCCCCTCCGGGCCTCCAGACGCCCCGAGGGACCTCCAGGGGCCCCCAGAGACTTCTGGAGACCTCCAGGGACCTCCGCCATTCGTCGACCCTCCAGCTCCCCCCAGTCCCCACCCCCGCCTGCATTTGGCATTGCTTCAACGGCCTCGGCTACGATGGTTTGACGACGTTTGCCGACAGCGTGAGATTACCACGAAGCCTGATGTTTACCAGCGTGGACCCCTAGCAGTGGGTTACTACACCCTCGGTGTGCACACTATGCGGTGCAGCGTATGGGATGCCATCTCTGTGGTGCAACGCACGTGGTGCAATGAATGTTCGAAGAGCTTCGAGACGTCAATTCAAACGCTCGAGCAAATATCTCACCGTCCCACCCGTAATGTATGCAGATCCTTGGCTCGGGCGAGCGGGTGGTGATCATTGTGGTGCTGATGACGAGGGCGAAGACAACGATGATGACGATGACCATGCTGAAGATGATGACGACAGTGAGGACGAGGATCATGACGATGTCGATAGTGATGACAATGTCTCGATTCGAGGCGGTTGAAAGCGAAGCTGGAGCTCAATTGCAAGGAAGCTGAAAACGCTTTGCGAGGCCTTCAGCTTACGCTGGCTACGTGCGCAAGCGCAGTCAGACGAGAAAAACACCGCGTGAGTGGAAAACCTGTGTTTCCCCATTCCGGAAAAATGTCATGCGTGGAGCGGCACCAGCCGTGCACAGTAGAACGTAGGAGGCCCGATCAATGCAGTAGTTGAGGGAGCCAGCCGAAGCCCCCAGATTTGGGGGCGCTTGCTCAAGGCGCTGGGATGTGAAATCGCCCTCACACTGTCAGGCGAGTCCACGAATTTCCAACCACCAAACGAGCATGATCTGCAAAAGCCTTGCATTCCCGTGCTGGGGGCCGCTAGGCGGCCGCTCCCCCCTTCGAAGCTACGGCGATGGTGACGAGGAAATCGACGACGACGACGAGGATGGTGACGGTGGTGGCGACGATGACGAAGGCGACGACAATGACGGTGACGATAACATCCAACGGTCGATGGAGATGGCCATGACGATTGACGTGGTCCAGATCTTGATGATGATGCCGACAGTGCTGATGAGGATGATGAGAACATGCGCGCGCGGAAATCCAGAACGTCCTGGATGCTGTGTATGCTTCGTCTGGGAAACCATGTGGTGTCTCTTCTGTGTGTTCGAGGAACCTGGCATGGCAGGGAGACCGTGGGTCTGGGAAGGGGGGTCGACCCGCGCGCACGCGCGGAAACTGGGCGCGGGGGGCCCGCATAAGGAGGAGGAGGAGGAGGAGGAGGAGGAGGAGGAGGAGGAGGAGGAGGAGGAGGAGGAGGAGGAGGAGGAGAGGGAGGAGGGGGAGGAGGGGGAGAGGGGGAGGGAGGGGGTGGAGGAGGAGGAGGAGAAGGAGGAGGAGGAGGACGAGGAGTATGGCACAGACTTGGCGCGGGTGCGCGAGGATGGGCACGTGTGTTCGACAGGCGCGCGCGGGTGGCCCGCCTGGTCTCGCATGGCCGAGTCGCTGCCTCCCCCCTTGCAGCGCGCTTCCTCCCCGTCTGTTCGTGCAGCTCTACGAGGGGCGGGGTCCGCAAGCATCTGCGCAGCTCCTATGCAGCGTGTCCTGGCTCGCGCGCCGCTCACTGGCAGGCAGCGTTTCCTGAGCACGTGCTCGGCCCCTGGGCAGCTCCCGGGCCCCCCCCCTCTCCCCTCCCTGGCCCCGCGAGGAGATGGCCGCCAAGATGCCGGTCGATGGTGGTTCTGCGCCGTATGTAGGCTGTCCGATCGGCTTGCCGCGGCAGGATGCGTTGAGGTAGCAGGGTTCCACACATTGTCCTTCTCTCTCCCTCTCTCCCTCATCTCTTCCCCTTCTCAAACCTCACCGTTCCCATCCTCGGTATTCTTCCTCCTCATCCTCCTCATTCTGCTCATGCGATCGGTCCTCCCCCTCCTCCTTCTCCTCCTCCTCCCCCTCGTCCCTCCTTGTCCCTCCTCGTTCCTCCTCTTCATCCTCCTCCTTCTCCTCCTCCTCCTTCTCCTCTGTATGGCGGGCTCGTAGGCGTACGGCAGACAGTCGGACGGGCCGAAAGACTGGCTGGGCTGAGGGCGTTGCAACAGATGCCCTCAGTCAAGCTGCTGGTCAGTGATTTGCTCGGCTTCGTCCAGGAGGGCGAACTCTGGCGCGACGGTGCTGTCGGAAAAGTGACTTGTGCCAGTGCTCCGTACCCAGGCGTGTGGAGACAGCTCGTTAGGCTGAAGCGCGCGCCGCCACAGTTTGCCTGGGTCCCTGCCCACATGACCGAGGATGAGGTTATTTTTCCTGCGCCTGAGGACCCGTCGCCCCCTCCCGACCTCCGGCTCGTGGGAAACAAGTGGGCGGATGTTTTCGCCAAAGCTGGGGGCCTTGTCGATCAAGGTCCCCGAAGGGCATGCGAGATTCTACAAAGAGGGTCTCCCAGCGGCCGCCCAGTATGCCAAGTATTTGGCCTGGGCGGTCCAGCGAAGCTGTCACCTTGAGCTCTGGGCCGAGGCCGCGGTGCTCACAAATGGCGCACAGAGGCCGACGCCTGCGGAATGCAAAATATCTTTGCTGCTCCACGAGCATGACCTCGTGTAGGTCGGAGGGCGTCTTTTCTGCAGGAAGTGCAGGCGATCGGCCCGAACACCCGAGGCTCGTCGACAGTTGGCGTGTGGCACCGACCGAAGGAGCCGCCCGTCTGCCATTCACACCCTACAGGCCACGGTCCTGGAGGCTGCCGCCGTCAACCGCCTGCTTGGGGCGTCGGCGGGGTCTGCGGGTGCTGGGCTGCCTGGGGTTGGGGCGGCTGGCGTGGGGGCAGGGGCGCCGTCTGTGGACTGGGCCTCGCCTGGCCTGGGCCCTGCGGGGTCGTCTGGGGAGGGGCCTGTGCCTGCCCGTGAGGGCGGGGCTGGGGCCCATGGTAGTGTGTCCTCGGGCTCTGGGGAGCCTGCGGCGGGGACCGCGCCTGGGGGACACGACGTTACCGCCACGGGTACGGTCGGCGGCGCGGGGCTTCTGGGTCCGTCAGGGTGGGGAAGGCGTTCGGGGCCGCCTGCCCTGACCCCCAAGACTTGGCCCCCAGCAGGCGGCAGGCCCTCAACTGCTTGCTGGGGGGGCAAGCACCCTAAGTCTGGCAGGACCCTGGAAGGGGTCACTGACTGCGCTTGTTTTCTTCCTTCTATGTTAGAGCTGTGTCTGTGAGCAGACACTGCCTCCGTAGCTCGTTCCTCGTTCCTCCTGCTTCTCCTCCTCACCTCCTCCCGTTTCTTCCTCCTCCCCCTCACGGGCTCAAGAGGTCAAGGGCTCAAAGGGTCAAGGGTCAAGGGGTTTGAGGGTGTTCACTGCTCTTCCCCCTACTGCACTTGCACCGTTATTGAATATCACGTCCTGTGTGAATGAGCCTTCTGAGTTCTTTCGCTTCGTCGTGCAGTTCTGTTTGTATTAGAGCGGAACGCCACCAACAAAGTGGTTGGAAGGTGATTGCATGCTTTGGTGGAGTCGGACAACATGCCCCGCAGGCATGCTCAAAAGATCAATCTAGCAGCATGGAGCGAGGAAGCTTCGCAGGTGAGTGCGAAACCGACGAATCAGTCTCGCCGTTGGGAGTTTGACATCCAGAGTTGCGAGCTGGGAGGAAAAATATTGCGTCACAGCTCGCTCGAGTGAGGCTTGCAGCACACGCCAAATTATACCGAGGTTGGAATGGCTTGAACCTATATACGTATTGGTGGAGTTTCTTGAAGATCGAAACAGGATGCGACCGCATATTCAGCAATGGCAGTAGACAGTGGCCGACCTGAACATCGCAAACAATCGCCCCTTCTTCCCCTTGAGAAACACATCAGTCACAGCGCGGAGCAAATCATCTTGCAAGGCGAAGCCGCTAACAGCACATCATTGGAAGGCGTTTCGAAACATCCACGTAATCTGAGTGCTCGAGAGGAGAGTGACCGGCTCGTGGATACAGCCCGACGAGCGTGGCAGAATGTGACAGGCTCGCTTATCATACTAGATTGCAAAGGGGCTGTTGCACAATGGTACCCGGACTCGATCGACTAGCGGATCTCTTGTACAACCCCGCGAATTTTATGGGCCGACAATCTACACATGTTCGGCAAATTGTGTAGCTAGATATACGTGCAAAGCCGAATTCTTTTTTGAAGACGATGGTCGCAAACCAAATATTGACAGCAATGGGCACAAAGTTTATGGCCCGTCAGATACGCCGAGCCAAAGAAACACAAGCGTTGGCAATTCATGAAGGAGCACCGCAAAAATACATCATCATTCGTTTCATGGTCAGCCTCCCGAGGAGCGTGGGCCTTGAGTTGAATATGCATCCTCCCCCAACGCCTATGTATTTTTCCATTGTTGGCGTTTGGCCAGCCTTTTCAGGAGTGTAGGTATTGCCATGTCATGTGGGACTGTTCCTTTCTTCGCCCTCTTCGTTCCCCCTCCCCCCCTTCAGACAATCCAGTTGCATTAGTTCCAACGCCATGCGTAGGCAAAGTTCCATATCGCGGTTTCGGGCATCGGGGAGCCAACATGCTTCCAGCGCTCTGGCGCCACCGCCGTGCTCTTTCTAGGGCCGTCCTCCGGGACGATTGTCGGCGTCCTGCCTTGTCTTCTTTAATCCTATTCATCCTTCTCTTTGATCGCCCTTTTTTCCCTCCTACCTCGTCGCCGTCATCATTCCTCCTCCTTCTCCTCCTCCACGCCGCAACGGGTGGACTTGACTCGAGTGGTTGGCGCAGGCGCCCGCACAGTCGTCCTAGGTCATTGGCCTCCTGGGCATCCCAGAGGGGGCAGGCGCTGGTACCAAAAATCGAGGTTCGCGCATGTATCTGGACGCTCTTGGGCGCGTTTGGGCCTCCAGGGGCTTTCGGATACCCCCAGAAGTCACCCGCAGGGATTTCGGCACACCCAGCACACCCGTGACAGGTTCACAGGCGGCGGCGGATCTGAAAAGCTTCGCGCATGCCACCAGTTCCCCTTACTGACCGAGTGCTGATCGCCAGGAGGCATACGGGTCTTGCTGGAAACGGGCTCTGAGATGTTTTGCCTTTTTCGGGTTCTCGGGGCCACTGACAGGCCATGGGACCGTCAACGAGCGGTTCGGGATGAAGGGCTGGTCCCAGGGTTCCAGGCCCGTTTCTTTCAGGGCCCATGTTTTCACGATTGCAGGAGCACGGAGGGGGAGAGGGGAGGGGAGAGTACGGCAGGGTTCGCGCTGTGTTGACACCGTTGCGATCCCACGCGCGGGGGGTCCAAGAGGAGCGCCGCCAGTGGTGCAGAATCGGCCAATATCGAACGCCCTGCGCATGGGAAAATCCTTATCGTCTGAGGTTGAGTGATCCACGAGGCGTCAGCAACCAGCGCACAAGCCGTCACGACGCGAACCTGTCGGAGAGGGAGAGGGACAGGGAGATGGGCAGAGGGGGTGAGGGAGGAGGGAAGAAGAAGAGAAAGAGGGATTGGATTGGACACACCGCAGCGCAGAAGGCCAGGGCAGGAAAGAGGGGAGGAACCCACTGCACCCCGCGCAGCGGGAGCAGGGGATCCAGTGTCCAAGCCCCCGCACCCCCCGTCGAAGCCTGGGGCACACGATCTTCCAGAGCGTCTGTGACAGCAGCACCCGCGTGGTTTCACCTGATCGACGCCAAAAACTGGGGTCGTTTGCGCCGACATTGGCGTGCAAGCTGCCCGCGCAAGCGCCCTCGCTTCACATGTGGCGTGCCGCGCGGGCGGCCCGCGTAGGCCACCACGTAAGGTCGTTACGTTGTTCCGCTTCACTGCTGGTGATTACGGGACTGAGATAGGTCCATTGTGTTTTATCGTCGTTCACTTGCCGATATGGTTCCCCCTGCCGAAGCGGGAGCTGCCTCTCGAGGTTTGCCCGCAGGCGCCCGGGAGCCAGTGCATTCCGCGGTTCGCCCGCGGCCTTTCTCGCCGCGGTCCGCATGGCGCGGCGGAGAGGCCAGGAGACCAGGCCCGCCGCCGAGGCTCGCCCGACAGGCGAGGGCTGCGCAGCGACGTCTGGACGTCGCGCAATATGGGGGGGGCGATAAATGGAGGGGCATCAAGGGCTGCAGAAAAGGTTCCTCCTCCTCCTCCTCCTCGTCATCATCATCCTCATCATCATCATCGTCATCGGCATCATCATCATCAGCATCATCATCCTCATCCTCATCATCATCCTCATCATCATCATCATCATCATCATCATCATCATCATCATCATCATCATCATCATCATCATCTTCCACTCTCTCCTCTCCTTCTCCTCCTCCTCGTCCTCATCCTCGTCCTCTTCCTCCTCCTCCTCCTCCTCATCCTCCTCCTCTTCCTCCTCCTCATCCTCCTCCTCCGCACCCTTCTCGTCCTCTTCCTCTCCTCCTCCTCCTCCTCCTTCCCTCCTCCTCTGCCTCCTCCTCCTCCTCCTCCTCCTCCTCCTCCTCCTCCTCCTCCTCCTCTCTCCTCCCCTCCTCCTCCCTCCTCCTTCCTCCTCCTCCTCTCCTCCTCTTCTCCTCCTCTCTCCTCCTCCTCCTCCTTCCTCCTCCTCCTCCGCTTCCTCCTCCTCTTCCTCCTCCCTCCTCCCTCCTCTCTCCTCTCCTCCTCCTTCCTCCTCCTCCTCCTCCTCCTCCTCCTCCTCCTCCTCCTCCTCTTCCGCCTCCTCCTCCTCCTCCTCCTCCTCCTCCTCCTCCTCCTTTTTTCCCTTTCCTCTCCTCCTCCCTCCTCCTCCTCCTCCTCCTCCTCC